ATAAACTAGAAAATACATGCATGCAGAAACCCTCGCCTTACTGACAAAACATTATGTTTTCTGAATATTATGAAGAATTGAAAGTAGTTGTCATGGTAACACGATAATTTTAAGAATAGTTTTAAACCTGGTTTTAAAATTGAAAAATCCCCCCAAAATATCACTTTTAATAACAAAATTATCAATTTCCCAAACATATGTATGCCAGGTATGTTATTATACGTAATATAAGCATCAATTTAATGTAAAATTCAACCACAAACGCTTCGCAGAACGTTTTAAAATGTTCTCAAAACTAAACGGCCTTTTATCGAATTATCGGTAAACATTGTCATTGAGTTTGAAATAAGCTGATTTCAAATTCTCGCATGAAAATAACTTTGCTTTCCTCTTTATTTAAATACTTTAATATACAAAAGAAAAAGTAGTTAATAAAACTACACTGAAATTATATGCTGTCTTTTTTCACTTATATACGCAATGATAGGTTTAGTTCGATATTCACCGTATCGCCCACCACTATCAGTTATAAATATATCAATTATAAGACAAAAAATACATCAATATTTAAAACGACTATACCTTCGCTAACGTCGGCGACTTTGCTCTATTCTTTTAGACGTTTTTAGACGTTTTTGGCTCTCAGAAAGGTTTTGAAATTTTACAAAATCTTGCTAAAATACAACTTGCAAGAAATGTACTTTATCATATACTCAAAGGCCGTCGGGTTTTAAAACAATTATAAAATAAATATTTAAAACAAACTTACCTTTGTTAACGTCAGCTCCCTTCTTTTAGCAAAAATGCGAGCAAAAATTTAAGATATATTTGCAAGAAATTTATCAATCATCAAATCAAGAAATGTTTGCTGTTTCGCTGTCGTCATGCAGTCGTTATAATGCAAACTTTAAATTGGACCAATCAGTGTCCGCTATTCATGACAGTCCGCCATATTTTTGAGATCAGTGAGGATGACCACCCACGCACAGTGACCCACGCCCGCGATATTTGATAAACTTTAGAGTTCGCTAATGCTTTCGTTTCCCCGGGTGTAAATAGCCGGGGGGAATTAGTACCCTCGCACGGCGCTTCGCGCCGTCGGCTCGGGGATTAGAGGGATAATCCCCAGAAAATTTTTGAAATTTGAATCTCGGAAATGTCATTTCTTGCATTCTGAGCATCCAAATTTGCTCCAAAATTTATGCTAACTATACTTGTATTTGAAATAAATAAAGGAAAAAACGCACAAAATGTTAAAAAAAATTAACCATCATTTATCATTACTTATTAGAGGGATAATCCCCAGAAAATTTTTGAAATTTGAAACCTGGAAATGCTATTTCCTGCATTCTGAGCATCCAAAAAATAAAAAATTATTAACAATAATTTATCATTACTTAGTGGTAGAAAAAAGTAACAATTTAAATCGATTTTGTTAAACAAGGACAAAGGATAACGCCTAAAACTTACTTTCCGTTTATGTATTTGTTAATCTTCGCTGGTTTGTTTCTATAATTTTAGGGAAAAGGGACTTTTCCTGGGGGGGCAAAATGTGATTTCGTGGGGGGGCACAAGGGGGGACTGGGGGGGGCAATTGACCCCCAGCTTGTATGTTAAAAAAGGCCCTGCCAAACGTTCACCATGTTCGTGGAAAATTCCCGCTAGAACCTGCCGAATTGTCCTAATCTGCCTTTCCCAAACGCCTCCCATGTGACTTGAGGAAGGAGGATTAAAAATCCAGTCCGTTCCAATCTGACATAACTTCTGTCGTATCAAGTCGTTGTCCATTTCCTTCAGTGCCTTCGATAGCTCTTTATTTGCTCCTACAAAGTTTGTTCCATTGTCAGAACGAATTTGTCTAACTGGCCCTCGTTCTGCGATGAATCTCCGTAACGCATGAATGAAGGAATTTGTATCCAGAGAGGAAGCAACTTCGATATGTATTGCTCTGCTAGCCATACAAGTGAAAAGTGCACCATATCGCTTTAATTCTTTTCGCCTCTCTTTGATGAGAAATGGACCAAAATAGTTGATTCCGACATAAGTAAAGGGTGGAGCTATGGTTAGTCTCTCCAGTGGAAGATCAGCCATTTTCTGTACGTTGGGTGAAGACCTCGCTCGTCTGCATATAACACATTGATAGAGCACCTGTCGGACTGCTGCATTTCGAAATAAAATCGCTGCTCACATTAGTGCTTGGTAACCTTTGTAAATATAACTTACCTGTAAATAGCTCAAAACATTTGTTATATCTTTTAAATTTATATATTACTGTAATAGCTTAGCTTATCCTTATCATATTCTGCATGTAAAATAATTTTCTGGCACACGCCCCCCGTGGAAATCAGCTACGGTTGACGGGGTCAGCGTGGATAAATAAAGTTCTACTACTACTACTACTACTACTACTACTACTACTACTACTACTACTACTACTACTACTACTACTACTACTACTACTACTACTAATGTCGCAAGAACATGTCCTCGACCAGCGTGTCCCAACTTTTGATGAACATGACGAATTAGCAGAGTGGTAACATGACTTTTGCGTGGTAAGATGTAAGGATGCTTCATTTGCTCGGTGAAGTCACCACGTCTTAGGCGGCCACCGACTCTAAGGACATCTCGATGAAGGAAGGGACTCACTCGATAAATGGAACTTGATCTTTTTACTTCAATCTTTGTCCACCTTTCACGTTGTCTTTTGTCTTGGCCTTCGGATTTCTCTATAGATCGTAAGATGCACATTTCTCTGGTGAATGCTTGGATTTGAACGCATCTTATAACGGCCATCTCGGCATCTTCTAGCTCTTGGACGGTAATAGGTTGTTGGAATTCTGGAAGGTGTCTTCTAGACTTCGTTTGATGTGGTTTATCTTTCTTCATTTGACTCAATTTCAGTAGCATTGCGCGAAGTCGTAAAAGTATTGCTACTCCTTTCTTCAAACGATTCCAGTCAGAATAGAATTCCAAGAATTTGTTAATCGTAGACATGGTGTTGTCGATAGAAACGGCTGACGCACTAACATTCTTCCTAACTTCTGGGTCCGTTGTGGAAACTGGAGTAATTACGAACGGTTGTTCAGGCCAGTTTTCTTCTGTATCCCATAAGAAACTTGGACCATTTAGCCAACGACTGTGCTTAAGAAGAATGTTCACATCGACGCGCCTTGACGCTTCGTCAGCAGGATTGTCTTTTGTGGATACGTATCTCCATTGATCAATACCAGAGATGCTTCGGATCGTTTGTATTCTATTTGCTACGAACACATGAAATCGTCGTTGATCGCTTGAAATATACCGTAGGATTGTTGTTGAATCAGTAAGGTATTTCACAAGATCAGGTCTGTCATCAAGCTCCTTCAATAGCATATCACCCATACGCGCTGATAATGTCGCTGCAACTAATTCCAAACGAGGAATCGTCATAACCTTGACTGGGGACAAGCGAGATTTCCCAAGTAGGAATGAACAATGCAGATTGCCATTTTCATCTTTCAGGCGGAGATACGCTACCGCTCCGTAACCGTCAAAGCTTGCATCTGAAAAGATGTCCATCTGTCTGGATACAACTTCTCCAAAGGAAGATGGCTTTAGACATCGGTCGACAAATAAATTTTCAATTTCTGGTAGATGCTTTAACCATTTGGCCCATATGATTTGATATTTATCTGGTAATTCATCATCCCAATCCAAATGTCCTTCTCGACAAAGGTCTTGTAAGATTTTCTTTGCTGGTAATGCAAATGGCGCGATGAATCCGAAAGGATCATATACCGACGAGACCACAGATAATACGCCTTTTCTTGTCAATGGTTTAGTGCTTAACGTTACGTGAAATTTGAATTGATCTGACTCCACACACCATTGGACTCCAAGTGCTCGTTGTATAGGCAGCAAGTCATGATTCAAATCCAGACATTTAACTTCTTTTGCTCGTTCTTCTTCTGGTATTGATGCTATAACGGCACGGCTGTTGCTTGTAAACTTTGTTAGACGAAATCCTCCTTTAGAACAAGCTTGGCGCAACTTATCGATTAAGTCACAGGCAGATGTCAAGTCATCAACTGATTTCAGGCAGTCGTCTACATAAAAGTCATGCTGGATCGTTTGTACGACTGCAGAGCCAAATTCATCTTCGTTATCAGTTGCTGTTCTTCTTAAAGCAAAATTGGAACAACTGGGCGAAGATACTGCTCCGAAAATGTGAACAGACATTCGATATTCCTCCATAGGCTTGCTGAGATCACCATTTGGCCACCATACAAATCGAAGGAAATCGCATTGATTGATTGGAAATTTCACCTGGTAAAACATTGATTCGATGTCAGCCATGAACGCAAACTTTCCTTGTCTGAATCTGGTGAGTACGCCAAGGAATGTGTTTGTAAGGTCAGGACCTTGAAGCAATTGATCGTTCAGCGATATGTCTCGATACCGTGCGCTACAATCATAGACAACCCGAATTTTATCCGTTTTTTTAGCATGATACAGACCATGATGTGGTATATACCATATCTTCCCAGGCTTCGGTGGGGGTTGCTCGTTCGTTATCCTTTCAGCATATCCTTTGACGATCAAGCTTTCAACGAATTCTACGTAGTCCTGGTGATATTTCCGATTTTGTAACATTTTCTTCTTCTGCCAATTAGCACGTTGAATGGCTTGCTGACGATTACTCGGTAAACTGATGTTTTCTTGTCTGAATGGCAAAGGAAGCTCGTAATGACCATCGACTAGACGAATGTCTCGTTCAGCTTTCTTAACAAATAACATGTCTTCTCGGGAATACTCCTTTCCATTGGATGTTGCATGATCATTGAAATACATCTCAAGCGTATTCAGTAAGGAATTTGGTGCAAGGATCTCTTTAATCCGCTCCACGGATTGTAATTCGATTCACGGTGGTAGTATCACGATCGCTTTGATTATTCACTCAAATAGGGCCATTAATAGTCCATCCATGTCGTAGTTGAATTGCAAAAGGACCCTCTCCATCACTTGGAACAATTCTTTGTGGCTCCAGTGCAACCGGACAATTGCTACCAATCAAAAGACCAATCTCAATTTCAGGATTATAAGTTGGGACTTCTTTACTAACTTCTTCAAGATGTTTCCAGTTAGCTAAGACTTCAGGCGTTGGATTTTGCTTGTGACTCACTGGTATAGAACTCTCTGGTGTATAGTTTCGGGATCTCGTTTGGATTGTGATCACGTAAGTCTGTAACAGTTAATTTGGTAATAACTGTACTGGAGACATAACTTTGTCCATGCATAGTTCCGAGTCGTAGTGTGGTCTCGTTTCCTGAAAGTTCCAGTTGTTCTCTTAGTGTATCAGTTAGAAAGCATCCGTCACTTCCATTGTCGTAAAACGCGTAGGTATCTATAACTTTGTTGCTTTCTTTATGTCTTACTCTTACAGGAAGGATGGCATGGAATATGGTGGGTTCGTCATTTTGGACACCAATACTTCCGCTATTGAGCTTTGTGTCTTCTTTACCACGAGAGGTTTCACCTTCGTTTTCATCTGCAGCCTTCTTGCTGGGGAGTTTGAATCCAGGTATATGGAGCGTCGATGGGTGTCGTTTGCCACAGGTTTTCCACTTCCTCTTATTTAGGCATCCTTTCACCACATGACCGTTGCCAAAACAACCAAAGCATAGTTTATTTTCCATCAAGAACAACTTCTTATCGTCAACGAATTTCTTTAGGAAAGCATAACAATCTTCCAAATCATGATTGAGGTTGCACGATGGGCATGATTTAGACTCGGATCCATCGACATTAGTAACTTTTCCAACTCCTTTAACGTTGGTTGAGAAACTCTATCTCTTCTGTACATCTTGTCTTCTTCTATCTTCCTTTTGCTGATCACTTTGCTTCTCACTTAATGCCGCTTTGCCGTAGATCGGATCATTAGCTGCTTCGGCACAGGAATCTACGAAATTTACCAAGTCTTTGAAAGTTGCCACTTGTTCTCGGGTTCTTCTTATATCAACTACTCGATCTCGCCATCGGTTCTGTAAAGCGAATGGTAGCTTTCGAACAACAATTTGCATATTCGATGGATGATCCAATGCCATCATGTACGACAAACTTTTCATTGCGTTATTACATTTCTTCAAGAAGAAGGAGAACCGTCTCAAACCCACTGGATCGTCATACTTCAACATTGGCCAGCTTAGCACCTTATTAATATAAGCTGACGATGTCTTATATGGATCTCCATACTCGTGGTCAAGCAACCTCTTCGCCTCTATGTATCTTTCTATTGAATCAACATACAGACATCCACTTATTAGCTCTTTAGGTTCTCCGTTGAGGTATTGGTTGAGATAATACAAACATTCGGCTAGATGGGTCTTGGATTCGATGCGTCGCACGATGAACGCCATAATGAATGCTTGATAGTCCAAGGGGTCTCCAGTGAACTTCGGCACATCGGGTTGCGGTAAAGTCATCGCCACTGCTAGCCGTCGATTGGTTTCGATAACATGTTCATTGTGCTGCTGTTGTGTTGATATAAAATCTCGCCAGGCTTTGTTACTTGACGGTTCTAGTGTTGGGATGTTGTATATCGGTCTTCGTACAGCGGAGGTTTTCTCGCAAAGGTCGAAGGTTGAGGAAAGGTACTTGAACTAAGATTAAATTCAGGTATGGTGTGGTGGAGCCCTAGATGTGATTCAGGGTTTCCAGTCGATCTTTTATGGATAGGCTTGTGCGGTTTTGCCGTGTCATTTACATCTGCTCGTCTTGTTATAGTTTGTGGCAGGACGTGGGATCTTCCAATTGAACGATTTGAATCCGTAACAGATGATGCCGATAATGTTGGTAAGGGTATTGTTTCATGGCGAGCTGTAGACACCGGATGGGGCGTAGCAGGAGGTTGCACGATCATATCTGAGTCTTTTCTGCTTTCTGGAGAATTCTGCGATTTTACTTCATCTATCTCCTCAAAAACCCTTTCTCTCGCTTTAGCAATTTCGGTGTCCAGCTTGAGCACTTCTTCCGCTGCTTTAATAGCTTGTTTTCTCTTGAGCATTAACTTCTCCGCCATAAGTTCCGCAATCCTTGCCTTTTCTTGTAATTGGGCAGATGACGAGGAACTTGCTACGGATGTAGTACGACGCGAATCCTTACCTCGACTTGAGACTTTAGTGTGACGCGAGATTTTGCTTCGATTAGAGTCGCTCTTTGATTGCGAGTCTTTGCTTTGTGGATTTGTTTCCTCAACTTCGGAGACTGAGCCATGATCGAGCTGCTCGGATAATTGCTTCTCAATCAGTGATATCCACAATATAACTTGATTGCGAAAGTCCATAAACGATCTCTGTCGGTGCTCAGAATGCTCCATTGCACAATCCCGCTCTGCTTCTAAAATGAACTTATCATAATACTTATGGTATGCACATTGATATTGAATAAACAAATCATTAATTGAGTCCAAAGCCGATTTTACAAGATTAAGTTACTTTCATTGTTCATAAGTTGAGTAATCTCGTTTCTCTTTCGAGTGACTCTGCTCAAACTTAACGTTTGGTCTAATTTCAGACGAATTATATCCTATAATTCGCCCTTCACTGTTCGTTGTCTAGTACGGCTTTGTCTTTGTTCCGCTTCATAGGGCTTAGCTGAAGTCCGATTCTCATCGCCCAAATCTTGTGACTTAACGCCCGTATCCATGTAGAATACCAACCAAATCGATTTAACCATGTGCAAGCGTACATAAGATTTAAACTAATGTAGGTGCAAGAATTTTTAAGTTCCTTTCTCTTGCCTTACAGGCCACGATTTAAACGCGCTTCGATTTTCGTTAGATCTTTATTTACACGTATACGGTTTAAACTACAAATACAAAATTACAATAATATAAGCTATAGAGTAGAGATTCCTTTACAGTATATTACAAATAAGGTACTTACTCTTATGACCTCTAGTATCCTTTGTGAACGATGTTCCTTAAATATATTGAGCGATGTTCAATAACGATTTTCGATATACCTTGACTTGTAACAAACAGTTTTCAATTTGTTCTATAGTTCGCACCCATGCCTTATATACATTGTAGAGTGCAACCATCTGAGACGATTTAAATATATTAATTATAATTTACTTTAACAAAGCGTCTGCATTAATGCAGTTATAGTGTTTCTATAGAGTTACAGAAACACGCGTGGAAGCACGAAGTGCGAGTGTTTCCACGCAATTTCGAGTTTCTCCCAAACTTCCACAAGTGTTTCTATAAACTCTATAGGAACACGGAAATTTTTTTTCTATTTCCTTGATTAAATAGCCTTTTAAAAACAATAATAAAGATAAATTTATTGATTTTAATTACATTCATTCAAATATTAAATAATTCTATCTTAACATACGTTCGTGTAAAGAATAAAAAGCATAGTCAAGTGAACAAGTCTATCGCTATTTTTTCTGTGTTGGTGTAATGTACTCAGGTGAATATGATGCTTGTGACGTTACTGAGTACATTACATTGCATTGCATTGCATTGCATTGCATTGCATTGCATTGCATTGCACATTGCATTGCACATTGCAGTAAAACTGACGTTAAAACGCGAGAACAAAGTCAAGAGGTTCCTGTTGACGTTAAAGTGCCTATATCACTGGTGGGATATTTACGGATTTGGAAAGAGCACAAAAAGTTAGTTTGTAAGTTCTTCAACCTTTTTTGATTTGGTTCAGTATTTTCCGAGATATTGACCCTCAAACATGACAATTTTCAAAAAAATCCGTCGTGCTTGGGGGCCTGGGACTCAGGAACGCGAGCGTAAACAAACACTATAGAATTGTATTATATTTTGACGCTGTAACTTACTAAAGTGAGAATTTTTGCAAGAAACGTCGGTTTATTAAGCTCAAAATCGTCCTCTGGTACTGAAAAAAGTTCCTACGATTGCGCTGGATATAAAATTGAAGGTGAAACGTACAAAACCACTTCAAAATCAAATTTGAAAGTGCTCCTTCGTAGATGGCATCTAGCTTCATCGAGCATGAAAATCTGTACACTGACGAAATATGGGCCAAAGAATACGTTTGAAAGTTGGAAGAATATAACAAGGAAATAAGGAAATTCATTTTCACATGAAACGGACCTTACATGTACAGTATATCGTGATAGTTCTTCGTATTAAAGTGAATATTATATTTTCTATATGTAAATGTTTTGCCATTTTAATACCATATTTTGGGTTGTCTTTGAGTAATTATGTTTTGCAGCTTGAATTATTGGGATATAAGAATTAAGTAAAGGAGGAGCTTTTTCGATTCTATTTTGTACTGTTGAAAATCACAATACATTTCATGATTCAATGATTGTATTAGCTTTATTGCTGCAATAGACCAATATATAAATCATAGGTAGCCCAGACACACTGTGCGATTTAAATTTAAATGCTTGGCATACTTAATTACCCCCTGCGGTATCGATTTCAAAATAATATGTTAACGATCAGCTCAAAAATATTCCGAATTTTTACACTAAAATGTATCACTAATCAATGCTTATCGTAGAAGGAAATATACTTAGGTACATAGCATGTGCATGCATCAACATAAATAGTTTATACCTTTAGTAGAAGCACTTGAAATCCAGATTTAAAATCATTAAATCTGGATTTCAAGTGCTTCTACTAAAGGTATAAACTATTTATGTTGATGCATGCACATGCTATGTACCTAAGTATATTTCCTTCTACGGTAAGCATTGATTAGTGATTTAGTGATACATTTTAGTGTAAAAATTCGGAATATTTTTGAGCTGATCGTTAACATATTATTTTGAAATCGATACCGCAGGGGGTAATTAAGTATGCCAAGCATTTAAATTTAAATCGCACAGTGTGTCTGGGCTACCTATGGCCAAACAACCTGAACTTGTGAGGGTTGGAGCCGCTGAGCTCTACTATATATATCTGGAGACCGTGCTCCCATATCTCGTCAAACAAAAAAGTGTCCGCAAAAACATGGCGGATTTCGAGCTCCGCGTCCACTATTTTCGGGCGATTTACCACTGACCACATAATATTTTTGAAAGCCACCTGTTTTCGCACCCCCCTGGATGCAAAAAGTATACACTGTGTAATTATTAAACTATCAAGTTTCACAACTTTATGTTTTGTCAACATGCCGCGTTAATATTGCTCGGTTTATGGTGGTCACAACTCCTTTGACAAAGACGGACTGTATTCACACTGGTAAGGAAATATTATTTTGTGCTTAGATATCATTCGAGAAGTTTTTTCTGCAAATGACAATGTAAAGCAAACGGTAGTTATGTTTTGTTCACGTGCATGTGTCACCAGCTTTTCTCGACTATGGCTTCTTTTCTGAGGTTTTTGCATGCAGTTTGTTTCATTCAAATATTATATTTCCATTGTTCCTTGTGATGTTCTCGTGTGCGTTTTTCCTACCTACTGTACAGTGTATTTTATAGGCCTGTTTGTATTTATGAAAGCATATTGTTATTGAATTTTTCCCCTTCACATATTTAAGTATTCCTGATGCAAAGAAGCATCCAGAGTTGTACAGCATATGGGTTGAGTATATGAATAAACATGCGACAGTGAAGTCTGTTCCTGCAAAAAGTAGTCGTTTGTGTTCAGATCACTTTAGTGCTGATATGTATGAGATAAAGGGAAAAAGCCAGAAATTAGTATTGAGACCGGATGCTAATACCAACAATAGTTACACAAAGGTTTGCTCAGGTCATTGGTGCGATTTAAAGTGTTATATGTAACAGTGTGCATGAGTTACATTCTTTGCTAAGGGACAAGTCATTATTAATGCCGGGTAGGGGGCTGGACGAAATTTTTATGAATAGCAAAAATTTTTCATGACCCCTTATTTTTCTAACAAACTATTTTATCCCCCCCCCCCAATTCTGAATTCAATTACTCTAAGTCAGTTTCGTAACCATTTTTCCTGCCCTCATACTCAGTTTACTTGCAGATGAAAAGAATATTGTAAATATTGAAAATAAAGAATATTGAAAATGATAGCCAAGTACTAGATAATTCAGACTTTATACCTGAAAAGTTGTTGGTCCTCAAAAAAAAAACAACCCACAAATCAGACCTACTTTTACTAATTGAAAAAAATACATTTGTGTCTGGTGGAAGCATTACTGTATATTGAAGAGATGGCA